GGGGGGGGGGGGGGCAACATTTTCTCAAATAAATAAGGACTCTACCCTACAGCATTCTTCAAGAAGTAACATACTCTCTAAAAATGTCTTCTGGCATAATGTTATTAGTTAGAACACATTTGTATTGGCATTAGCATCTTCATAACTGTTTTATATAACGTTGTTATACTTGTATCACCATCTTTCCAGGGAAAACCATTCATGATGGAGCTGTTCGTTTCAAATACATTGGACTACATAGGGTGAGTAAAAGAACTCTAATTGTACTTAGTGTTGCTAGGTGACTTCCAGTAGAGTGTTGATTATCTGGGGCTCAATTATCCTTGGATGGAGTGGATTGTCTCTTATATGTAATTACGCCAACAGAAAATAAGACTTTCTAATAAAATTACTTTAAAAAAGAATGTTTAATATCTTATCATGTGTGTTTTATAGTGTGATTACATATATGTATATCTATAAACATGTACAACTTCTATTTTGCTTACATGGATTGTGATAATTCAAATAAAATGTAATTGGCATTAACTGTGCTTTTCGATTATCCAGACCCCTGCTTTCTCAGATTACCACAGATTATCAGCACTGTACTGTATTCAGATTTAGTGTGTAGGTATGTGTGAATGTGTATTCAGGATGAATGAATATAAACTTTGTATGTGTGTGTGTGGTATTTTATTATATGTCATGTGTTAATATATTTAATATCTAGTAATGAAGATTGCTGTATTCTGGGTTGTTGCGCTATGTAGTCTGGTAGATATTTAATGATGTTACAGAGGTCCTTGCTGCTTCCATCATCAGCGCCCTGATGATGGAGGTAGTATGACCTCTGAAACGTTGGTTAACATCGACCAGACTACACAGCGCAACAACCCAGAAGACAGCAATCTTCAGACTCACCGTCGTGAAAACCTCAAATCCTATCTAGTAATGAAATTTACAGGGGTGAATTATATGCACTTTTTTAATTTTCTGTATGTCCTGAATTTGAGTTCAAAGACTTAAGAATGTTAATCAGTTTTTCAGTACGTTGCATACATATTATGATTAAATGTGATAAACACTTGGCTGGTGTCTGAGTAAAGATAGTTTAGTTTATAGTTTTGAATTTTCTACCATGTACATTACTTATAATTCTTAGCAAAGAAGTAGTAGAATGTCTTAGACTCATTAACTATTAGTTTAAGAGAAAATAACTTTTCAGATAAGGGAATTAGTGGAACCCATAATGATATGCACTGATATTGTAGTTTTGATGAGGTGTATGTGGAGTTTAGTTTGAAGTTTGGTTCTGTCACTGACCAGCCAGTGCCATGATCATAAGCGATACTTACATCTCCATTTTGTTATTAGAGAATCAATGTCCATAAGTAGCGTGAGTAACTGGTGAGGTTGGTTAAATCGGGGTTCATCTCTATAAAATGTGATCATTATAGCTCCTTGCATAGCCCTATGAGAGAATCGTCTCTCTCCTCGTGATACAAGGGCTGCATGAATTGTTGGATCAAAGATAGAGTTAAATATTTCTTTGCGTTTCTCATAATCCATGAATCGATGTTGGCGAAGAGTTTCATTTACTTCTGCCTGATGAGAAAAAGAAAATACATAGAAAAAATGCTATGTTTTAACTGCACATGCCTATTTATCAGATAATATCTAATCTGATATTATTATAATGCATAAACATTTATAATATCAAAAGTTACTGCCATTACATCATTATGGTGGTGTGAAAATAATTCTTTATTTCTTTATATTGCAATAGCGACTCTTCTAAATTTATCTGTCATATCATTAAATGGTATACATTCCAGTGACTCACATGATCTTGTCCCATATGGAAATGTGTCATTTGACTGGAGTATTATACACTTCTTCATTTTTTCTTATAGAATGTCAAAGTTCTGTATAATTACAATTTGTGTACTTATAATATAATAGCCAATGTCTGTCATGGTTTTACTGGACAAGTACGGTGTTCATGTGATGCAAAAAAAATTGAAATTAAGTTCTAATGTTGGTGACTGATAGCAAGAAATTAAAGTGTGGTTATGGTGGTAGTCTGGAGTTGATTTTGTGTTTGTGAATTTAGCAGGAATTTGGCTTGTTTCCATTATTTTGGTTTCAACAGCATTGTTTATAAATACATTTTATAAAATTCTTACTTTCAGTGCAATAATTTGTATCACAAAAAGTTTAATTCTTGTCAGCTGTGATGGGTCATATGCTACTATATACATATTTTAAATATGTTCATTGCAACTTGACATGTCTTGCTGGCTTAGATATTCATTTACTCCAGATACAAATCTGTTGTTGCAAAGCTAATTACACAACAGGTGAATTGCATAAGAGTCAGAAGTTGTTTTTCTTACATACTGTTATATATTCACCACTGAAAAGTGTGGTTGCTGATCGTAAAGAGAGTTATATTTTACCTTGTTATTATCATTTTGTATGATGAGACATTTTTGAGAAAATTTACACTTCTGAGTTGAGGTTTATGTAAAGTATAACTTATACTCAGACAAAATTGAATTTGTCCAGCAACATTTAGTTTGGTATCACTATACCAAATTTAAAAAAAATCACCTTGAACATTCACTTTAATTGATGATATGTTGTTTTGAATCCTCACCTCTGCAGTTTTGCGCTGCTTGGCCAATAGTGTTTCAACAGCCTGCTTGTACTTCCCCCAAAAGTTGAAACCATCTGCTTCAAGTCCTGGAGTACGCTCCAGCCATCGCTGTACTAAATGTGCTAGTGGAGGTTCATTTTCAGACTTCTCGATAGCTTTTATTGCTTCTGGGTCATTTCCAAAGACACATGAATACTTCTGATTGTATTTTACTCGATGCTCCTAAATGGATAATGCAATTTTAAAAGAAACACAAACAAAAATGTAAGGAGTCATTATCTTTATAGCTACAAATTTTAAAACTGAATAGTGGTTTTAGCATAAATAAGCTCAAAATAGGTACATTTATGCAACAAACAGTGGTGATAGCCTTCAATGAATCACATCTGTATAACAAAAAAGTACATATGTGTTAAAAAACTGAAAGTAATTTTTAAGCTAATTAGAGCATGCAGCGACAGTGACAAGTAATAAGTTAGCAGTTTTGTTTAATTTACAATTAGTACTTTTTCAATAATATTTATTTCCTATTAGAATAATAACATTTAGAATATTAAAGGGTAACAACTGCACAGGTATTATGTCTGTACATTGATAATTGGTACACCAGAATTATATAATGTAATTCTGGGAATAGATTTGGTTAAATCAGTATGCTGAGTTTAACCAACCTGTTTAACACCTAATTTATTCTCTAACAATCGAAACTGGAGGCTCTGGAAGCCAGATGCTGGAGATAAGTAATTCCGAAAGTCCATGAAGTCCAAGGGAGTCATTGTTTCTAGGATCATTACTTGGTCTACCAGCAACTAGAAGAGAATACATGAATACCACATTTCAAATAAACTGATCTGAGAGTTTATGGAAGTAACAGGGCAATGTCAAATTGGGTTACAACCTTTTGAGACTTGCATTACAATGAATTTGTTAGTTAAAATGGGGTGACCATTGAAAAGACCAATTGAACACATGACATGTTCTTTAGCCTAATATATGAAGAAGGATAAATTTATTATCAATATGAATGATTGACATGTAAGTATGAATTTCACATGAGCTGTATTGTTAACCTTATTTTGAGTCACTTTCTATTATTAGAAGAACTATCATCAAAATGAGCTGGTATACATCGGTTACTATGGTAACTGCTTATGATCTGGATAATTGTGGTTCAGTCTGGGTATGTGTGTGTGATTGATAATTATTTTACTATGCTGAACGCATGTAATTAGCAGCTATCTAACCTCAAAAAATGGAAAATAAGAACTACATTGATTCATATGTATAGAACAGGGATACAGTTCATTCTGTACCATAACCTGTGTAATAGTAAGGCTGTACTTCTTGTTTGAAAATCCTCTCATGAAACAAAACTTGTATGGTTTCCATTGCAGCCGGTAAATCGAAACGTGAGACAAGGTGCTAGATCGCGCCTGTCCAACCTGTTTAGGGCCCAGAGCGAGTTTTTAACATTCTTATACAGTGGCAGACAAACAAGTAGTTACAGAGTTATGTTGTAAAAATTACTGATAGTTAAAGAGAATATAATCTACATTCTTTGTAACTGACATGTATCATATTGTGGTCATAGTTTCAATCCACAAATGAACATTCAAGAAGTTATTTAAAAGGATAAAATAGTAACATTTAATACACATCTCACAGGCCACAGTCACAGTAATCCTTATTCTGTCGAACGTTTTTGTTCTTGGTTCATTTAATGTTGCTTTCAATTACGTAGATCAGGGCAGGCCAAGATTTCTTCTCTCAGGCTAAGAATAATTTTCCTGTTGGACCCTAGGGACAAGAATCACCTCCAGGCACTATTTTTGAAAACTAAGAGCTAATTTTGTTATCTTTAGCAACAGCCCTACTCATCGAGAAATGACAATCGCCATAGTAGGGCCTATATGCTCAAATATAAATGTTATTGAAATATAAATAAATTGCTGTAGAGTTGCATATTGTTTTATGTTTGCTCCTGCAACAGCTTCATCATCTATGGTGCTTTGGCCCGTTTTTGGGCCCTGACCTCCCCCCTGCAACAGATTATATCTGACAATTTTTACCTGAAAAACTAGCATTTTATGTTGCGTTTTTTAAATCAATATCATACAGGTAAAGCAGCAGACAAGATAAGAATCATGATTTATTTTTAAATTCATCAGATTAAATAAAATAAATGAGGCTGTAGTAACTAGTAAGAAATTAACAAATAATTTTACAGACCTGATTATAAGTGGTCTTGGAGTGGATGTGGACTGTGTGCCACTAGTTGGATCATGCTAACTTAGTATATGCATGTGAGTATACTATATGTGACATATAAAGGTCTTGAAACTGATATGAAATTAAAAACTTGGCAAATTTCATATGGCCAATGATACAAAATGTCCTAAAATTTTTTGAGGTATTTAGCATATGAATGATATTTGAATTAAGCAATTACAGCTGTTTTTGGACCTGGAAAATAGATTGAAGTGGCTTTTTATCATCACATTTATAATAGCTTCTATATGTAAATACATCACAGGAAATATTACGCCAGCAAGCTGCACTCTATTCAGGTTTTTGGTCAGTGCTAAACAAGCACAGGTGGACTTTGGTTTTGGTTCTGAGGTCACTGACATCTCGATTCAGTCCTTGGTCAATGGAATATTTCCAACCTCAGGTCTCCTGAACATTAATAGGCCTACGTCATTTAGTACTCTAAGCAGATTACAGCTGTCCAGTCTAAGGAAGCCATACAGCTTTGACTTTGTCTTTGTGAGAGTTAAATAACACTTATTGTCTGGTCCATTTTCTATAGTAATAAAGACATGCATAATTATTTGTTAAGCTGTTCTGTAGTGGTAACATGACATGATGCACATGGGACTTAAGTCAGTTGGATCTACTGGAAAAAGTTAAACTTTGTTGATTTCAAAGCACTAATCTCAATCCCTGGATGTTAGCTCTTTCCAGTGGACCGAAATGACTAGATTGCGTGGTTTTGTATGTTGATGGCAGCAGAATCAGCTTCTGAGACATCATATGTTTTTAACGATGTTTGAATTTTAAATTAACACATGAAGGAAAATGTTCAAAAATATGCATTAGTTTAATGATATGATTTTGTCAAAAACCTTTAGATTTAAGAACCCGTTTTGTCACATTTTATGAAGTGTACTACCTATTGTTTATGTGCTGTGAGTGTTGATAATATTAGGACGTGGATGTGTGAAGGTTTCTAGGTTTTACTCTTGTTTTAGTGTGAGCAAGGAACAACTTACGTGCTTGACCACGTGTTTCTGTCGAATGACCTTGTATGACATTAGTGCAAGAATGATCTAACATGCAACGATGACTTCGTCGGCATGAAATTACTTTATTAATACAATGTGTGGAACCAAATATTTATATACTCCCTCCAAACATGTTATATATTTGTGAGGCAGTGTTCGTAACTTGAACTTGAATAACAACGATGCTATTGCAAAAATACGAACGAGTTAAATCTCCGTTTTGTTACGATCAAACCTCTAAATCTATAATCAAATTCTAAATTTCCTCTTACGTCTGAATCGGTTCATTATGAGTTGTATCCGTATTTTTAGGAATGTCTTCTTCTTAAATTAGATATAACAATGATGCCTGTAATAATATTTTCAAATTCCCGTTGATTTAATGGGTCGTTTATGGTGGATAATATTTATTGACGAATATCCGAGACATGTCCGATGCTTCCTAGAAGTTGTAACCTGTGTTGCTTTACTAAAATAAGCATTGACTTTAACCTGTACATTTAGGCGTCTTAGCGTCCCTACGTAGATCCCATTAAAATATCTCCGTTTGTCTGTCTATATCTATGAAACAGCTCGATAACGGACAAATGGATTTTCTTTAAATTTGATATTGAGAAGTTTTATAGAAATTTGTCGACATATTTAAATTTTATTTACAATCTTACAATAATGATAGACGTTTTTGCACAAATTTATTGAGTGTGGAATTTCCTAGCTATCTTAATTATCATAGATACTGTGGTTACCTTGGGCAAAAGTCAAATTCTGGCCAAAACGCCGGAATTGTTACGCTGTGCGTAAATTACTTAACTTGTTTGTAAGTAACTCATTTGCAAGTTGCAGCTATTTTCAATATGTGGATAACATAATTAAAATAAACAATTATAATATAGTGTCCTTTTTTAAATTACATGTATGACAATGAAATCTGTCTAAGAAACAAATATGGACAATTACAACTAAGTTATTTTTTATCGAATGTTATAAGTCTCACAATGTTTCGTAATTATTCAGTCGAACACAAATAGCCTAATTTGTATTCTGTGAGTTTTATTCTTTATCCGCGTAATTTCTATATTTAGTAGAACCATTTTTATAAATATGACACATTTGTTAAAGAAGCTACAAATAAAATTATGTGATTAATTAGTCGATGAGTCTTTGGAGAAAAATAGATGTCATAGTCAAAAATGTTGAATACCCCGATTTAAAATAAACTCATGACTCTTCTCAGACTTTTCCTAAGCAAAAGTACATTATTTATAAGCTATGTATGTTACTTTTTATAGATGCTTACGAGTTCGGACTACACACTGAAACTATTTGCTGTACGGCATTATCACGCACTGAGATATCAGCTTTGAGTCTCGGATTATCTGTCCGCGACAGTGCGTTTGTATTCAGCGTAATTAAACAATCTCTATATTTTAAAATGGAGGTATGAAATGCATCTTAAGTCTGGGTAAGGGCACATTTATCTGGGAATCAAGAAAGGTTTTAAATTTCTTTATTTTCAAAATTTTGAAATATTTGGTTCTTATGTGCGCCACTTTTCATCACATTTATAAAAACGGCATGGAAACTTTAAATTTCGACTGTGATCTTATATTTGACCTGTAAATTGAAAATCAGTAGATAACGTTACCTCAGTACGATAATCATCAAACGTAAGAACTTTATTCGAAAACGTATAATTTTGCTTGTAATATTCTGATAACCTACGACAATTTGAAGTAGCATTAAACCTATGACAGAATAAAGCAAAAAAGATATAAAAGCAACGTGGTGTACTTTAAGATAAACCACACTGTCACAGACGAGACACGTGGACAAAGAGACTTATATTCTACGCTAGAAGAAATATTCTGCGTATATTTCATCAGGGATCCATGACCCTATTGAGCAAAGGTCTACAGCAGATTAAAAGATTCTGCACTTGCGACTTTCTAAAATGTGATTGATCCAGATAACCTGTGAATGACGAAGGAACATTGCAATTTGGATATTTTGCTAGCACAATTATACAGCAGCGGTTGCCCAAGTCTATAAATAGGTAACATAGAACACACTTAAAAATTGCATATTAAAATATTAATAGTGTATACTTATAACTAATACTTTTACTGTACTACTACTGTTAGTGTTATAAATTTTACTTTAATTTTAGGCGATTTCTTGTAAAACTTCAGAACCCAGAAGAAACCGAAGAATTTTAGAGCTATCATTATAAAACGTCATAAACGCTGTTAGTAATGTAACAGTTACCAGGTTATGAGCTGAGCACACGAAGTTTGATAAAGCTATTTAATATGTAATTTATTTATTTGTGTCTTTCAATGAAGTTACAAAACTTAATATATAAGACACATCTTCGCCATTAGAGTTTTTGTATTTTCGTGGTGCGTACTTTTTTGGTTTATAAACGAATTGCGTTAGAACAATCTGGTGTTGTGTAAATATTATTCTGTCTAGGTCAAGTTATAGCGTTTTTTTGTTTTATCTAAATTCTGTCGTGAACAGATAACCGCGTTTAATACTGGTAGATGAGTCAGCTCTAAATCAATCAATAAATTAAGTCATCAATCAAAAGCATGTGATGCATTAATGATATTTGTTAAACCATGTCCAGTCCCACAACACGTCTGATGACGCAAGATTATTAAGATGTACGTAAGAAGGGCCTGGCCTTCACACACCCATTTGTTGCTACAATATCTTGAATAAAAATAGATCTTTTCAACATGCAAACTTATGTTATCAAACTCTTGGGATCAAAGTTGTTCTTGATGCAATTAAATAACTAGATTGAACAGGAATATTTAATATCGTGCCATATTGTATTACGAGAGTAACCACAGGTTTTTGTAGGGCGTTCTAGTAGTCTGTCAATTACGACAGAACAAAACGGGTTCAGTCTTTTTCACGACAGAGGAAATGCTCATTAATTACGTCTCGTCATATTGTGGTTTTTATGAATTCTTTAACACAGTTCGTTATGAAGAGGTCACGTATCTCTGTACATATATTTGAACTACGAAACTATTCGCAATTTTTACATCACCATCATAAACCGTTGCGAGTTCAGATTTTACCAAAATTTTTGTATTTCCTTTGTATTTTAATGTGTGCAACTAAAACTTTATTGCTAATTTGTATTCTTTTCAGCAGGCGTCACTGTTGTACGCAACGTTGTTTGTGAAGTTACGCTGGTTTTTAGAGAAGACCAAGGCTCGTGACGGGCTGTAGAGCCACAGATAATAACAATGATAATTATTATTACGAGGGTCGCTCATTAAGTAATGCCCCACATTTTTTTTCTCAGCCAATAATGAATATAGAAAAGTGTACTTTTACATGCTTGAGATTTGATGTTTCCCGCGTTCGTGTACGGAGTTTCAAATGATTCCAACCGATGGGGGAGCTGTAGTGAACTGTTAAAATGGCGTCTGTGAACGACTCTCGTTACAAGCAACGAGCTGTAATTGAATTCCTTGTTGCTGAAAAAGAAACGGTGGTGAACATTCATAAACGTTTGTGTGCTGTGTATGGAAGCTGTGCAGTCGATAGGAGCACCGTTGGTCGCTGGGCTAAGAGAGTTAAAGCTTCAGGAAGTGAAGAAACCGAGCTCCGTGATCTGCCGCGCTCTGGGCGTCCTGCCACAGCCACCACTCCAGACATGTTGAACCGCGCGGATGCCATTATTCGTGAGGATCGGCGCATCACACCTCGACAATTGGCCCAACAGCTTTCAGTCCGCAATGGAAGTGTAATTGCAATTATCCGGGCTCTTGCATATTCGAAGGTGTGCGCAAGATGGGTTCCACGAAGTCTCACAGCAGACCACAGGATTCAAAGGAAAACAATTTCTTCTGAATTGTTGGAAGCGTTTTGATGCTGAGGGATCATTACAGGTGACGAAACCTGGATACACCACTTTGAGCCGGAGACAAAAAGGCAGTCAATGGAGTGGCATCACCCTCAATCACCGAGAAAGAAGAAATTCAAGACAACTCCCTCCGCCGGAAAAGTCATGATGACTGTCTTTTGGGACAGTGATGGGTTCATTCTTGTGGGTGTAATGCCAAGAGGTGCGAGACGCGTACATCAGGACCCTGAAAACCCTCAAGAAGCGTTTTCGACGAGTTCGGCCTCACAAGCATCCAGCAGAAATTTTGCTCCTGCACGACAATGCACGCCCTCACACAAGTCTGAGAACCCGGGAAGAAATCACCAAATTGGGTTGGACGGTGCTGCCCCATCCACCCTCCGACTTTCATCTCTTTGGGCCACTCAAAGATGCTATCCGCGGAACAAGATTTGAAGATGACGAGAGCGTGATTCAAGCAGTGAGGACATGGCTACGTGCACAGGACAAGAGCTGGTACCGGCAAGGCATGCACGCACTTGTTCCACGATGGCGTAAAGCCGTACAAGTTGATGGGGACTATGTGGAAAAATAGTATGTGTAAGGGAAACATTGATTTATATTGTCACTAAATTTCAGCCATCTTGAATAAATATATTCTGAGGAAAAAAATGTGGGGCATTACTTAATGAGCGACCCTCGTATGTTCCCGTGCAGTAAATGTCTTACGTAAGTTTTGAATATGTCCCCTAATTTGTAATGTTCCAGAACTTTTAACAGTTAATGATCAACTATATCGTATGTGCACTTAAAAGTTTACACTTTTGATGCAACTCGCTTCTTGTGTGATTTCTACATATGCGATATTGTTAATATCGCGTCAAGTGTGTTTTTCGCTGGTACACCGATGATGACATTCCCACCAAATTTCTCGCAAATTTGGCAACTGGTCTTATATACATACAGACTAGAAGCCTACACTTTTTTATTCATAAGTAAAGAATGCTAACAACTAAGACGTGGATTATTTGTTCGAAGACTACAAATATAATGTATGTAAGATATGAGGTTTCCACAGCGGTGAGTATGAAGATTTCTGTCTTCTGGGTTGTTGCGCTGTGTAGTCTGATCGATGTTAACCAGAGGTCATACTGCCTCCGTCATCGCCCTGATGACGGAGGCAGTATGACCTCTGAAACGTTGGTTAACATCGACCAGACTACACAGCGCAACAACCCAGAAGACAGAAATCTTCATACTCATCGCCCTGATGACGGAGGCAGTATGACCTCTGAAACGTTGGTTAACATCGACCAGACTACACAGCGCAACAACCCAGAAGACAGAAATCTTCAAATATAATGTAGTTTCTATGCTAAATGTAATTAATGTTTGATTTATGATAAAAAATAGCCATAACGGTCAACGAAAATCAGCTACAGATTTATTAACCATAAAGATCTACAATTTAGACTAGTGGTTCTGAAACTGTGGTACCGGTACCCCTTGGGGTGCTGTAGATGGTTTCCAGGGGTATCAGAAATCCTCATTCATATACATACAGCATGAATCAAACACTAGTTTTGAGCAACCTTGAGTCACAAATAAATTTAAAACGAAGTGAGATTGTAGAATTTCAGCAAAAGTAATTTACCTCCAAAGCTGTTGGTCAATCTCCTTCTTGCAAACTGATATTAGTTCACACAATTACAGCATTTAACATTAATATAACCAAGCCGTCATTTATTTTCTGTCAGAAATACAAATGTAGCTTAAATGTTTTCCAAGTTTATTTTACATGAGGTACCAGATTTTTCTTTGACTTAATTGGGGCACAAAAAAATTTGAGAACCTCTGGTCTAGACGGTATTTCTGTGCTTCAACCATAAGGCAACTAATTATTTTCAGACTCATTTGCGTCTCAAAAAATTATATCAGTTAAACTTTTCGATTCCTTGCTAAATAGGCTTGTTAATATTACATTCTTCGTCATTCTTTTTTCAGACTGTTTATGTCCTTCAATCTGGTCTGATAACAAGAATTATTGTAAACTTATACGCGTCAATATGAAAACGCAATAAGGATCGGTCGTTACGTTAAACCAATCAGAATTCGTTTTATATATATGACTATCCTTTCTGTCATTAATTTTCAGGCAAACCAATTCGTTCGTAATGTGTTGTTAAATAACCTTTTGACCTAGATACTTCCGCTGTTTTATCTGTGACTTTGTTAACCTTTAGCAATAACTAAAAGAATTGCAAACTTCATAAAGCAAAACTCTCATTGCAAAATGCGAATTATACGATATATTCAAAACAAACATTTAATAAACTAAGAATGAGTGAGATTTTAGATTCTCACATCGACGATTATGACAATTATTGGCTGTATTCTCGTTGTTGAGCCATGTAGTCTGATAGAAGTTTACCGACGTTTCAGAGGTGCTTGCATCAAGGTCCTAATGATGGAGGTAGCAAGTACCTCTGAAATGTCAGAGAATATCTGTCAGACTACATGTCGCAACAACCCAGAAGACAGACATATTTAAAATAAAAATAATAAGTAAATACATTAAATACATAAACAATTAAATAGCATATTATTAAAACTTTTATGGAGTCTTAAAAATTAATTTGCAACGCTTACCTTCAAAATCAAGACGATACGATTCATGCGTTTTAAAATTTCCTGGGATTGTGATTCGTCTAGAACGAGGTCCTGGAAAAAGAAGTGTTTTAAATAGGGAAGTATTAACCTTAGGACTAGTAATTTATTTTGTTGTCCGCATGTTTAGTTTGGTGGTGGACACCTTGATATTTCAATCTGTGTTTAAGTAACTTAACATGATCAACATTAACTCTATCGATATTATTTTCAGTTCTGAATAATTTTAATAACAGATAGTTATATTATTTTTTTAAGCTTGAGAACCTTCCGTAATTTAACATATTAACCCTATTATACCAATATTATGTTAGACATTTTCCATTATCTGCGTATAGGGTCTATTTGACTCCATGATGCTCTACTTCCGTCTTCAGGCGATTGATAGTAATTATACAAATTTTAATTTTTTATTTCATGATTAGTTGTGTCGGTTAGGAACAAACACAGAAGCTTTCGAATATTACGTCACTATACTAGATAGTAGATTGATAGATTTGATAGTATGACAACCAATCACCTGAGCGCCACCTCCCGAATCGTGTGTTTCATCAGTTAATGAACAATGTCCAACATAATATTTATGTAATAAATCGGCTGTTGCAACAAAATATTAATCATAGTTGTCCAGTGAAGAATATAATTTTTATTTCAACGGTAAAGACAATACAAAATACTGGGGCTTAGTTGGTTATTTTTGTTTAAAAATTTCTGTATCGTCTTCAGAGAATCAAAAGTCTATGTGACTAGATACTATTTTTTTTTACTGCCTAGACTGGATTCAGTCCCGAGTGACTTATTGTGATATGCATGGTGAATAACTGACAATAAAAGAGGTTTCTTATATTTTATACTTAAAATAATAATAATAATAATTTTACCATTGCGCCAAACTCAACTGTCACCACCCTATGAGGTGTGTGATATCCCTGACAAGAAGCACTTTATCATGACATCAGTTACTAAATTTGAAGCTTCGTATCTGACCAGACACTGCTGGAACTCGTAGTAAAGGTAGTTTATATAAAAATGTATTTTCATAAACTTGTGATATTCAATATTCTCACCTCGGTATTAAACTTCGCTCGAACAGAATCCAGTTCAAATAATATTTGCTTGAACCACAGTTCATAGGCTGAAAATGAAGACAGATAATCAGATAACGTATTTCGTCACGTAATGTCGGGTCTTGTTGTTCTTTTGTTACTGTAACGCACTTACGTATGTGATATCAATATTAGAATTGTAATTTATACTATATAGCTATTGCTAGTCTGCCATCTTTATGGTTTCACCGCCATTTTGATGTTGTTATGATTCTTCAACTGACGTGTCCTTTGATAAAGGAAATATGTAATTAGCAAAATCAGCAAGAGGTGGCTCAGATTCGCATTTGTTTTACATTACGACTGTTCGTATCGATTGATCGGAATAAAATCGATATTTAATCATGCCTATGCATTTTCTTGGTCCGAAGAAATATACAAACCACCAGGAGGGTAAATATTCCATAAAACATTTATGAGACAATTAATTAGTTTACTTTTTATAATTTTAAGTCAGTTAAAATGGTCGTGCGGTCACAAATACATGGGTGTTCATTCGATCAATTGAATCATGGGTTCGAATCTTACTCTAGACATGGATATTTTTATATTTTTCTGTGTTGTGCTGCCCTGTGTAGGGATAGTTCTAGCAACAGGCCGACCCGCCTGTCCAAGGAGTCCTCAAAATGTATATAAAGATTACGAGAGTTATAAAAATACTTCTCCAAAAAGGCAAAGACTCATAGAGGGCTATAGGGCCCGTATAATAATAATAGGCTGGTACTATTCGTATTATTATGAACACAATTACATTGATGAAGATATGGATTTTAAAATTAGAAAGTAAACATTTATACAGTCGGTTACATAAGTCTGGGGGCATACAAGAACTGTATTGTTTGGCAAATATGAAAAAAGTATAATGACGGAAAAGTTGTAAAACAAATAGTTCCAGTCTAAAGTTGTTGAAGTTTTTTCAGAGGACTAGCCGTTACGATATCCACACCTTTACATTATCAACAGGCAGTAACATTTTAAGGTAATGTCGTGCTGATACGAGTTTGCTATTATTTTGAGTTTTCCGGGTTTCGTTCATTTCTTGTATCCTTGTAGTAACCGTGTCTTATCACTGTTGCGTCACCCTTTTCTAAAAAGGCATTCCCCTTTCGCTGTCATTCACTTTCCTTTGTTTTTGTATTTCCTTTATCTTGAACTCTTGCCAAATATATGTTCCTAATTCTATCATTCCTTGTCTCTCCCACTATTTCCCTCAGGAAATTTAATTTCTACAGCTTAAAATTTACTTTCTTCTATCTTATTACATCTCCATGTCATTAAAATTCCATGACTTACGTCATTTGTTCGTTTTCAGTTTAATTATCCATTTAAAAGTATAAATTTACCGTTAACTAACAACGAGAATGGCCTCGCATTGTTTCTTGCTAATTTATTTCAACCTAGAACTGAGTCCTAGGTAGCACCAGCATATTTACACTTAATACTACACCCTGAGGGCACTTCGTACGAATTTTGATCCAGTAGACGTGAAACTGCCTCGCTACACGCCATGTAGGCTCTTAGGGGGAGAGACAGTATAGGTCCTAGTCTTTCTTGACTTTGGCACTAGATGGGGGTGAGTGGTTAACGTCATGCTCTTTACCTCTGGAGAAGGGACCTCTGGTCTGGATGTACGGGCTGGAAGGTTTTGATGCAATAATGACATAAATCCCACCCCGTGTTGCAACGTTGTACGATTTTGAAGTGACCTTCAAGCACACAATTTGGTGTTGACTGATAAAATGTTTCGGAGGCAGGATATGAAAATTATTATAATGTTACTAGCCCTCTACTACTCTAAATATAAAATCATATTTTATTATAAGGCTTCCACAGTAAAATATATACGTTTCTTGTATCACCTAACATTTTCAACGTTATTAAATAATACTAGGCCTACTTACCTTGGTGCGTTATAATGAATAGATGTTCATCGTGAACAGGATGGTTTGTCCTCGCACTGAGCATGCGCTGTGCGTTCAGTATCTTATCCAATTGCAGATATTCACCATAAAGCATTCCAGCTTGACCATCAAGTTGATCTTCTTCTTGAGAAATATCCGTCCTACAATGAAAGTGTTCTGTCATTGATACAGACTACACTAAAATGACTATTTTGTTCACAATGTTTATGTCATGACGTGAAACCTAGTTCACAGTGAGCTGACGCTAATGACGTAGTAGAGTTACAGATAATCTGGAGGGTAATTGTTATTCGTATTCTAGACGTTCTGGGTTATAACCTGGGTCCAATGACGGTTTATCCTGGCTGAAGATAATCACAATTGTTTAATGTGTGTCTTTTAAAATTGTGATTCAGTTCTATTGTATCATTTGTTTTACCGCAATAAGATCATCAAATCAAACAAGGGACAAATCATTAAATTCTCTTATTATAAATGGTTATTTTCAAGAGCGGGTGTTTCCGTCACTTGATCATAGTGACCTCTCGGTCAAAAGGGCTTTGGAGATCCCGAACATTCAAGAGTTCGAATCCAGCTCAGAGTTGCGTAAAGTTAAATTTCTAAAAATATTAAAAACCAACGGTTGTCCGGATTTGAATTAAATTCATACAAGTAGTGTTGGACATAACTAAGTTTGTGTACAGAAATATTGGTTTAGTTCGGTTGATTCCTTAAACCGAAAACATATATTTTTTGTTTTCGATTTATTAATTAGGCGGTTACATTCATATTAATCGTTGTTTGTTTTTTTGAAATATTGGATGATACTGGATTTAATAGGACACGAAGTTACTTGTTGGGTTTCTGTTTTTGTAACGATGACTGACGATGCCCACTGAAAAGGCTGGAAAACATCAATTATTTGCATACGATATCAATTATTATTGACAGCATATTTCAAAGCCGTGAACTCAAACACATTTATTATTTACTTCTGTTTACTCTTTTTATTCTAGTCTCCTATTGTTCTATTCTATTGTTCTTTTATCAATCTTTTGCCGCCCTTAAATTTTACCGGCCTAGACAACCGCCTAGTTCACCTAGTGGTTAAACCGGCTGTGGCAGGCACTGTTCTGTACATCGTGGTTTATTCTTTTATTTTTCGCGCCATACGATATTTACAAATGTCTTTTTGTCATGCGTTTCATTGTCCTATAGAGGCCTTGGAATGGGTCGATCCCCTGTTGGGGAAGAAGAAGAAGAAGAAACCTGTCGCGTTTAAAGAAATTCTTGTTACAGAATTAATTCAGAGGGTCTAACCAATGACATTTGAAGGAAACAGTATCGTACGTCACACCTGTGAACCATCGGACATCTAGGAATATCAGAAGCTATGGTAGAAACTTATTCTGACAGTACAGAACTGATTACACGAACTTTTACTACATTGTGTGAGGAGTCTTATGTAATATAGCGGCAAAAAACCGTTTGTGTACAAAATCAGGTGTTAACTGTTCGTGGCAGACTCTATCAGCAAAACGGAGTTCATACAAATTATTTTGCGGCAAGGAGTAGATTAATGTGACTTCATAGTCATGTTTTAACACCGCCATCTTTACTGCCATTGTCACTAAATTATGTTTCCAACTTTTAAATTTAAGTTTACTTTAATGCGTTTTCTAATAACTGTAATATACTCAATTACGGACGATAATGTGATGTTAATGATTACTTGATTTTTTTAGTATACATATTTAATCTTATGTAATCAACTGTTATATTCGATAACTCGTGGCTTACGTAAATGACAACTTGTTTAATATTCAGTGACAGATACCCTGGGACCCGAAATATTAGTAAGCAAACACAAATGTCACCTTATGGGCCTCAACGTATTTAACTTTTATAAATTTAATAATATATTTTTATTAGAAGGACAAATAAAATGAGTTTCGGCAACATTTTTTATATTCACTACTGTAATTACATAATTTATACTTTATTTAACAACTCTTTATCATCTCATGAGGTTATATGGAAAGATGACTTGACTTTTGAACTGGGAAATATGTGAAAGGAATCATCGTGGCCTGTTTTAAAATATATTTTTGCTGGACTGAGGAAAACACTAACAATATCATTCTGAGCTGTCCGCGCCAGGTCGAGAATCAAACTGGTTACTTCCAAATGCGAAGGAGGATTGTTAACCATTCAGTCTCTACATTTGATTACAATTACATATGAATGTTTTGATTACACTGATGAACTTCAGTGGCACAGAAAGTCTTGATAACTGCATTTATGTCTTCTAGTAATTAGTATTGGTTATTGACACTTTGGTATCACACATCTACTTGATTTATGTTGAGCTTATAAAAAGTAAAAGTAAAGTTTGTCCCACTACACGCCATGCAGGCGCTTGGGGGGAGTGGAGGTATAGCTCCTCTCTTCCTTGACCTCAGCACTAGATGGGGTGAGTGGTCAGAATCACGCCCCGGCCGGCTTTACCCCCGGGAAAGGACCCCGGTACCCATTGTAGAGGAGGCTGGGTGGGCCCCAGAGCCGGTCTGGACGCAGAGGCTAGAGGAAAAATCCTCTGCCCCCGTCGGGGATCGAACCCCGGCCGTCCAGCCCGTAGCTAGTCACTATACTGACTGAGCTATCCCGGCTCATGTTGAGCTTATAGTCAACATAATTTATGCTAGAACCGGTTTCATAAATGCAGTATGTTTTTTCACGTATCATATTCAGTAGTCGAAGTAATTATGTCTGTTTTACATTACAGTTATCAGGAAAATTCACATAATTTTCAGTTCTGAGAAGAGAATATAAGGTTTTATGTAAAGACGTATTAGGAAACGTACGAAACCTGATACTGTTAAAATGTTTTAGTATAACCGGGTATGCTGCCACTTTACGTATTCTTAAATATTGTGATAAATTTCATTATCAACTGATTCCTACTACGTTAAATTTTTCAGTTTTAAATAATTTATACTATCGCCATATTTGTAATTGTGCATATAAATCGATCATACGATGTCTGTATATTTGTTTATAATTTTTCCCATAAAAATTTCAAACATCTGCCTGGCTCTAATATTTCATTAGTTATTTTCAAAGTGAAAGCTGAATATTGATGCCACGTGGTCGTAGTGTTACTTCTTTTCATTCGAAAAAAAAAGCGAAAACAGAAGCTAGACGGCTCTTAAATTAGTGGAAAAACCCTTAGCCGAAATCTATTTAAAAATGGCGCTGATTTTGACAGCACAACAGAATAGTGACGTCTGGGGAATTTCAGTCAGGTGAGACGTCATCATGTAAACGTTTTCCTACAAATTTAGCAGTAAACTAATCAGTTTAGTTATTCATAACACAATCACTGATTATAATATTATCTCTGACGGTGGGACAGACTTTCAGTATCAAAACTTACGGGATCCCATCGAAATTGCCGCAAAAAAATATTACAATTAAATAAAATTATAAATAGAGCCGATATATGAAGCGTCATGTATATAAACTGGACACTGTCCAACATAATATTAGTATAATGAACCAACAACTGTCATAGAAGTATAGAGAATCAGTAACAACCTATTGATACTTCTCATCCAAAGATATGTAAGCAGAGAAACCGAAACGCAGTCTTAGAAATAGAAGAAACAGATTATGAAATTTTTTTCGATAATGTAATTTCAATTATTAAATAATAACAATTGTAAAAGGCCTCAGTAATTAGGTTTTCCGGACGTTTTAACTTCAACTGACAAACTAACAGATTTCATAGGGCACTTTAAAAATACGTGCAAAGAGTATGTGATCCTATATTACAAAATATTTTTATTTTATGAATATCTATAACTGTTTTCTGAAGTTTTTATTAGCTGTACACTTAATGAGATAAATATAAAAATTTATTTAGATGTTAAAATAAATTTCTAGTCCTGATTAACTCATGTGGCATAAATTCATATACCAATAATATTTTCACACAGAACTTAATTAAAAGCTTAGAACCGGTTTACGAATTGAAAGACCGGATAAAGAGAGATTTAGAGGCACTGAAGAAGAGAGAGAGAGACAGAACGTAATAAAGATATTAAGGCAGATAGAATGACGTGATAAGTGACTACTGAAATGAGAACAAACACAAAATAAAACAATGGGGATAATAAAGCTAATATAACAAAAGAATTTCAAATTTTCTAGACCCTATTTGCGATTTTACATAATTCATTCATCTGATACAAATATAGGCCTGCATGGCGCACACAAATGTGTTGTTTTAGAACTAATTATAACACGTTAACACGCCACAAAGGATCAGAACTATTGTTTTTATTTGTTTATTGAATACCCACTCCACCAGCCCCCGATCAAAAGCTTCAGATCTCAGTGTGACTTCTTTTATCTCGTGTAAAATTTTTCTTTTGTGCGATGAGCCTATAATTTATAGGCTTAAAATTCTAATTTCATTTCACAGAAAGTAGATAGTCATTACGAACCAACACATATTTCTTCAGTAAATTTTAAAGAATTTCATTAACACTACATTAGTTCCAAAATCGTTCAGAAGTTTCGGTGATTAAATATTCGAAGTGATTCGACCTCTCCATTGTACATTCATTTATCCACATTGTACAAAGGGCGGTACAGTTGTATTGATTATGATTTTTGTCGCAAATTCGCGGCGAATTATTACCCACGTCTTTCAGAACGAAACGGATATTTTTTTAACCAAACGTAAAAGAAACTTACCCATTGGTGAAAACACAGGAGTTCATTTTCGACTCGTCTTTCGTAATGTGATGTGTGTTAAGTATAACTGCCCTTCAGTGACGAGACATCCGCTTCTCTGTCCGGTCTACATAACAATGCGTCGTAAACTGCTACAGCTAATGTAAAAGTAATCACCATTTCCAGCAATGGCGCTAGTATCGTCTAACTACTGTTCTAGTTTTTCTTCTTCTTCTTCCACTCTTGTACATGTAACATGTTACGATGTGTCAAGGACAATGATGGATTATTGCCCCCTAGTTGAATTTCATGTAACCAGACATAACGTGGCTTCTAATTTTTATGTGGTTTATGCAAGAAGTTCATAAGCAGAACAGGACATATCTTTTGGTCTTTGATGTGTGGTTTGTTGCACCCACAGATATTTAAAAGTTCGCAATAGTGATCTAAAATGGTAGTGTTTTACGTATCAGTAATGCTATCACTAAGCAACTTTCAGAGATACTTCTAAAAGGGGTGATAAAAACCTTGAAATAATTTAGTAGCCTACCTGTAACACTTCCGATGTATTCTTCATTGCTGTTCGAAATTGAAAGTGATGGAAATTGAATAAGGCGAGAAAAATGAAGGGGTTAAAGGAACGAAATAGATAAGTAAAGAAAGACAGGGAATAAGGGATGAAGATATGAAATAAATCATTCCCCGTTGAATCTCAGCAGACATTTCCCCTAAGGCTGTCATCTTCGACAAAGGACTCACCGTACAAAACATTGATTAGGCTACACCAAACAAAATATAGATCGAAGATGGCAAGGACCTCTGAAACGTCGGTAAACTTCTATTAGACTACACGGCGCAACAACCCAGAAGACATCCATCTTCAGACTCACCGCCGTGAAAATCTCAAATCCTACAAAATATAGATCTAATTAAATTTATAAAGTTTATGTAAATTTAATTTACTATAACGTTCGATCGGTTTCAGCTGCATCGCTTGTTCAAGTCCTTCATAGTCATAGTTTCGGCCAATATTGCAGTTGTCATCTTCGTGATAACGGTTATAGACGTAAAAAGAGTTAAATGACATTGACCCCGATAGTTGTAAATACAGTGTTTAATGGATTTTAACAAATGAAGATACTCAGGCCCGATAGATAATATTATAACATAAACTGGCCGACAGCAAAAGACAACGACAAGAATCATATGTAGGTAAATATTATGCTCAATAAATATTTTATATGGTATCTGATAATTTTCGAAACACTGGAACAAATAATTGACGCATCAGTTCAGAATAGTGTCTTTACTCCTTATTATCTTTGCCACAGAAATGCCTAGCACCTCTACTATCGATTAGTTGCTGTAGAGGTCACCTGCGACAAATGAACATTGAGATTAAAGGTGCAAAACCTCAATATCGAGTGGAGGAACCAAAACTGAGCACACCTTAACTATTTTATTCAGTATGGTTCGTGTTGTCAGGCATTTAAGCACCGAGGAGACAATTCTTTCGTGCCACAGAACACTGTCAATGAAGCTGAAATTATTACGCTAATGATAAAGCCCATCGGTGTCCTTAGTTCATTGCTTCTGAGACGTTAAGGACTTGCTGGACATCTTTGAGGTACGTTTAATATGATAATTTATCATTATAATGATTTCGTAACTTCCTGAGTGATTATTAGCTTCTCAAAAATAAGTCTGTTCCATTTATTTAGTAAGTTAGTTATTGGTGATATTGGTTAGGATCGAATTGTGTGCCTTTTTAATAGTGTGTGGTTATGTATGTACACTTCCTGTAATTTTATAGGATATATTAACCAGTTGAGTAAAAAATGCTCCCTAGACGTCGCGTATACTGTAGAATATATTCCAGGCAATGGAATAAATCCAACATAAATGCGGTGTAATAAAGCAAACGTCACAAATATTTAGAACAGTGATTCTTAACTCCTACGTCGTGCGTCAAAATTGGGTCGTCATGCTAATTTCAGTTGATCACTAAGTGTCTCAGTGAAATCTGAAGACTGCTTTAAATTATATTTTGTAATGAAAGATGGAGTTCAAGATGAGGGGGGGGGTTTTTTATTAGGACGAAGGTAGAAATGCGCATGCCTAGACTTCGCGACAATCTTCAGCCCTCTTGCACCATCTGTTGGCGAAGTATGTAGGTCGAGCTATGAGTGCGAACTGGGAAGAAGAGAGGGCAGTATAGAGGAAGATGATTGTGTTCAACGAAACCACGCTTTTAAAATGTTTACACGAAGTTCGTTCTCTATTTTTATTTTTTAAAGTCTTAATATTTCCTTTATTTAAAATGTTATTTACCTGCTCAGCTTGCACAGTAAATCCCCTCTAGTTTAACACCCCTATATCCTTGACAATCCTCTATATTGAACGCTTTTAATTGGAACCGGCGAATATCCTATAATTTTACATGTCCACAATACCCTATATCTTTGACACCCTTTTTGTTGTAAGTTGGATAGGTTCATGCACTTAACTTCGATGCTTTTTAGGGAAATTTTTTCAGTTACATATTTTGTTATTTTGAATTTCTGACTGATGAATGCCTCAACTCTGGAGGATTGTCTTATGGACATTGAATCCATCATTGGAATGCATTGCAAGTGTTTATCTATTTTTTTGCTGAACCCTTAACTGGACTACAGTATTGTAGAAGACACAGTTTTAACTTTGTCAGTACTGTGCTTGCAGCTGAGTTAACAGAAATTGGATTTTTCTTTTTGCGATGGGGAAACGAAAATTGGTGGAATTAACTCTGGAAAAGAAGAAAGAAGTTTTGGATCTTCTGAAGATAGGAGAAAGTTGCAGGAAGCTGGCAGAGAAATACGGCATCTCAAAATCTACTGTTTCCAACAGTAACAGAGCCGCTATTGCCGATGCGTTGGAAAAGAATTGTAGTGCATACAGAAAAATGCTGCGAAAAACACCTCGTGATGAACTAAATGACAAAGTGTAAGGGTTTTGCCGGTGTTGTCGTGCAAAGAACGTTCCCATTAGTGGCAGCACTTTTACCGGAGAAGGCTAGAGAAATTGCAAATAGACTCCACATTGAAGATTTCTCGGCGAGCAATGGCTGGTTGGATCGTTTCCGTAAACGAAATAACATAAGTCTGCACGTCCTTTCTGGCGAATCAGCTTCTGCTGATCTTCAAGCTGCTGAAGATTGGAAACGCAAACTTCCAAGCCTTTTGTTGGGATACGCAGAAGAGGACATTT